TACCAATTTGGGAAGAATTTACGTCTTTACTATATCGACTCTTCCAATCTATGATCACAGAATGTCTCCCCATTTATTTAGAGCTGTTTTGATTTCTTTTACTAGCGTTTCATAAAGGTCTTGTACATGTTTTGTTAGATTTATACATAAGGGTTTAATTTTTTGAGTGATTGCAATGGTATTATATTTTTAATTTCAGCCTCAATGTGCTGGTTTTTACCATACAAAAGCACAGTTGATTTTCATATGTTGATCTTGTATCCTGAGATCTTACTGGAGTGTTTTTGTAGATTCCTTGAGATTTTCTACATACTATCATGTAATCTGCAAACAAGGACAGTTTTATTTCTTCTTTTCTGAACTGTATAACTTTTATTTATTTTTTCTAAATTGTTTCATGGGCTAGAATTTCCAGTTCTATGTTGAATAACAGGGGTCACTGTGGACATTTTGTTTGCATTCCATATCTAAGAAGGAAACCATCACATTTTTCATGATTAAGCATGTTAACTGTAGGTTTCAGAGACCTGGAGATTTGTTTTCATGGGAAGATTTTAATGATGAACTAAATGTTCTTAATAGTTATAGGGCTCGTCTTCAAAGAAGGAGGTACCTTTCTCTGAAGTGAGGAGAGAACCTCCACTTTGACTATGACCTTGTCTAAACAAGATAAGAGTCGGAGAACTCAAGGGGCTTCCATAGCCTTGGAAACTCATGACTGGTGCATAGGGAGATTACTGATGCCATAAACAGGAGTGTCAATTTGTAAAGTCAACAACAGGAGTCACGGTGCACTTACTCCTCATGTAGGATCTCTGTCCTTAATGTGCTGTACATTGAGGCTTAATGCTATAACGAGTACTCAAACAGTATATTTCACTTTGTGTTTCTATGGGGGTGCAAACTGTTGAAATCTTTACTTAATGTATACTAAACTGATCTTCTGTAAAAAAAAAAAAAGAAATTATCAATTCCCAACTTGACTCTCACTGGGATTAAACATGACAATAGGTCTGATCTGATTTCATCATCATTAAAAAAAATCATCTATTATTTTTCACTTTATGTTTCTGTGTGGGAGCAAACTGTGAAATCCTTACTTAATGTATACTAAGCTGATCTTCTGTATATTAAGATAATCAAAAATGAATCTTGATGTGAATGGAAGGGGAGAGGGAGTGGGAAAGGGGAGGGTTGTGGGTGGGAGGGACGGTATTGGGGGGAAGTCATTAAATAAAAGTTAAAAAAAAGAAGAAAAAAATAGTTATAGGGCTATCCAAGTAATATATCTCATATTGTAGTGATTTATACTTTTCAAGGAATTGGTCCATTTCATCTAAAGCTCAAATTTGTATGTATAGAGTTTTTTGTAGTAGTCCCTATTACCCATTTCATGTCTGCAAAGTGTGTATTATCTTCCAGTTCATTCCTGATTCTAGTAACTTGGTTTTATCTTCTATTTTTACAATTGTTGCCAAATGTTTGTCAATTTTACTATTTTTTCAATCAGTCCACTGTTTGCTTCCTATAAAAATTAATGTACATTTTTTAGCTGTCTTAGGTTTATACTACAAAAGAACAAGAAGATGGAATTTCAAGCTAAAATGGGATAAAATATTTGTAAACCGTATATCTGATAAAGCACTCAGATCTAGAATATTTAAAGAGCTTTCAAAGCAATGCTAAAAATAAACAAACACTTCAAGTAGAAAATAGTTAATTCATGAAGATGATATGCAGATGGAAAATAAGCACATGGAAAGATGTTCAACATGAATCTCCATTAGCAAAATCAAATAATCCAATGAGCTGTCACTATATAAACCTATGAAAACAGCCAAAATCAAAAAGAAAAAAATATTGACAATACTAAATACTGACAAGAATGTTGAGAAATTGGATATCATACATTGCTGATAGAAATCTAAAATGGTAGAATTCCACAGGAAAATACTTAGGTAGTTTCTTATGAAACAGGTGATCATATGAGCCAGGAATTGTATTATTATGCATTTATCCTTAAATAATGATGATCTGTGAGACTGGTGCTGTGGTGCAGCAGGTAAAAGCTGATGCCTGCAGTGCCGGCATCCCATATGGGTGCCAGTTCGAATCCTAGCTGCTCCACTTCCGATCCAGCTCTCTGCTATGGCCTGGGAAAGCAATAGAAGATGGCCCAAATGCTTGGGTCCCTACACCTATGTGTGAGACCCAGAAGATGTCCCCGGCTCCTGGCTTCGGATCGGTGCAGCTCCAGCCGTTGCAGCCATTTGGAGAGTGAAAGATATTCCATCTCTGTCTGTCTGCCTGCTTCTGCCTCTCTGTAACTCTGCCTTTTAAATAAATGAATCTTAAAAAAAAAAAAGAAAGAAAGAAATGAAGACTTCTGTCTGTACCAAAACCTACTACACAGCTGTTTATAACAACTTTAACAGCTAAAAATTGGAAACAATACAACTGTGATTCAACAGATGAAAGATTAAGAAAATACTAATGCATACGAATCATGGAATACTACTTAGCAATAAAAAATGAATTATTGGTAAACACAATTTGAATGAGTTTCCAGGGAAATATGCTGACAAAAAGGTCAACTTCAGAAGGTCACCTGCCATATGATTCTATTTATATAACTTTCTCCAAAAGGCAGTTAGAGGTGAAAAACAGATTGGTAATATCCAGAGATTGTGAATAGTAGGAAGAAATGGAAGAGGGATGGTGTGGTAAAGGAATATACAACTGTACACACACATTAAATCATATGAGTTTCCTGGTTATACTTCTGTGCCATCATTGTGTAATGTTTAAGTTGCAGAGGACAGAGAGAAGAATACATGAGACCTGTATTTAAAACTTACCGTGACTCTCCATTTCTCTCTTAGATTTATTTTTTTATTTGAAGGCAGATTTAGAGAGAGGGAGAGACCTTCCATCTGCTGGTTGACCGCCCATCTGGGTAACAATGGCTGGGACTGAGCTAGACCAAAGCCAGGATCCAGGAACTCAATCTGGGTCTCCCACATGGGTGCAGGGTCCCAAGCACCTGGACCATCTTCCGCTGCTTTCCCAGGTGCCCTAGCAGGAAGCTGAATCAGAAGCAAAGGGAGAAGTCAGGACTCTGGGATGCTGGCTCTGCAGGAGGTGGCTTAACCCCACTGCGCCCCAACACTGGCCCCTCTCTGTAATTATTTCGACATAAAAAGTATGAAAAGGGAGCACATGTTTAGCCTTGTGGTTAAGACACCCATCTCTCATATTGGAGTGCCTGGTTCAATTCCTTGCTCTACCACTTGCCTCTAGTTTTCTGTTAATGCTGACCCTGAGAGGCAGCAGTGACTGTTCAAATAACTGGGTTCCTGCCACCCATCAGGGAGACATGGATTGTATTCCTGACTCCTGGCCTCAGTCCCAGGCCAACCACAGCCACTGCAGGCATCTGGGGAGTCAACCAGTGGATGGGAGATTGCTCTAAAAAAAATGATGCTTCTTTAATTATTTACTTTTTAGTTATGTCAAAAGCAGAGAGTCAACGACAGGCACAGAGAGATCTATCATTCACTAGTTCACTCCCTTAATGCCCACAAGAACTGGGGCTGGGCTGGGCTTAACCAGGAGCCTCGAATTCAATCCAAGTCTCTCACATGAGGGACAGGGATCCAAGTATATGATTCATCACCTGCTGCTTCCCAGTGTGCACATTAGCAGGAAGCTAAATTAGGAAGTGAGGCCAGGACTCAAACCAGATGTTTTGATAATAGGAAGTGGGCATCCAAGTGGCATCATAACTCCTGTGGCAAGTGCTGGAAATCCTCCCACCAAAAAAAGGATTTTAGAAATTAGTTCTAAATCAGATAAAATTACATATCATACTGCTTGAAACACCAGGATAACCATTATGGAGCCAAGGAAAGTTAATAAAGGGCATGTTTTCACCTACGAAGAGCAAAATTGGAAATGGGATGTGAAATATAGGTACAGCTGTATGCCTGCTTTCTTTGGAAATAGAACCAATTCATTTTTCTTTTGAAATATTTGATGAATTTTCCTCTAGAAAAAAGTAGAATCAAAAGTGATCTGTCAGGGCCGGCACTGTGGCATAGTGGTGAAGCTGCCACCTGTAGTGCTGGCATCCCATATGGGCACCAGTTCGACTCCCGGCTGCTGCACTTCCAATCCAGCTCTCTGTTGGAGAAAGCAGTAGAGGATTGCTCAAGACCTTAGGCCCCTGCACCTGCGTGGGAGGTCCAAAGGAAGCTCCTGTCTTCTGTCTCTGGATCAGCCTGGTTCTGGCCGTTGTGGCCATTTGGGGAGTGAACCAGCATTAGGAAGACCTTTCTCTCTGCTTCTGCCTCTGCCTCTCTGTAATTCTGCCATTCAAATAAATAAATAAATCTTTTTAAAAAAGATATCTGTAGGGGCTGGTGCTGTGGTGTACTGTGCAGAGCAGCCACCAGCAGTGCCAGCATCCCATATGGGCACCGGTTCGAGTCCTGGCTGCTCCACTTCTGATCCAGCTCTCTGCTGTGGCTTGGGAAAGCAGTAGAAGATGGCCCAAGTGCTTGGGCCACTGCACCCATTTGGGAAACCTGGAAGAAGTTCTTGGCTCCTGGCTTTGGATTGACTCAGCTCTGGCCATTGCAGCTATTTGGGGAGTGAGGCAGCAGATGGAAGACCTACCCCCCCACACCCCGTCTCTCTGTCTCTCTCTCTGCCTCTGCCTTTCTGTAACTCTGCTTTTCAAAGAAATAAATCTTTAAAAAAGTGACCTATAATAGGCTACATGTTGCTTGAAAGTTTAAGTGCTTAAATAGCCTCTTTCTGCTAAAAAAATTTTAAGTAAAAAAATTTATTTTAGCTTATTTACATTAAAATTTCATTATTTTATGTAACTGTTTATCATTTTAATCCCATTATATGCAGCAGCCATTCATTGTTTTAATGACCAGAACTGCTAAGTTTTCTATGTTTACAGAACTTATCCTTGTATTTCTCTTATACAGACTTGGATTGGGAATCGAAGAAGGAAATATCGTTTAATGGGGATTGAAGTTCCACCTCCAAGAGGAGGCCCTGCTGATTTCTCTGAGCAGTCCGAGTCTGGTTCTTTGTCTGCACTCACACCAGGAGAAGAAGGTGGGCCTGAAGTAGGAGAAGATAATGACAGAAACGATGAAGTATCCATCTGTTTGTCTGAAGGAAGCTCTCAAGGTATATTTGATGCATTTTCACTTGCTTTTCAGTTCACTACATTTTTTTTTTTTTTGACAGGCAGAGTGGACAGTGAGAGAGAGAGACAGAGAGAAAGGTCTTCCTTTGCCACTGGTTCACCCTCCAATGGTCGCCGAGGCCGGCACGTTGCGGTCGGCGCACCGTGCTGATCCGATGGCAGGAGCCAGGTGCTTCTCCTGGTCTCCCATGGGATGCAGGGCCCAAGCACTTGGGCCATCCTCCACTGCACTCCCTGGCCACAGCAGAGAGCTGGCCTGGAACAGGGGCAACCGGGACAGAATCCGGCGCCCCGACCGGGACTAGAACCCGGTGTGCTGGCACCGCAGGTGGAGGATTAGCCTAGTGAGCCGCGGCACTGGCACAGTTCACTACATTTTAAATATAGAGTCTTCAAAACATTTGACTAAATATTTAAAAAGACACAGATTTATTTTTGATGTCTCCACCTAAACATTCTCCCACATTAAGTCATCACATGGAGTGTTCATCTACCAGGATAAACATCTCCCACATGTAGAAATGTCTATTACAACAATCCATAATCATAATTAAATAAATAACTGTTTTCATTTTATTGTAATTCTAGTCATTTTAGGCTAGAGCACTGCAAACATTTCCATGAAGGAGAGTATGGTATAACATGACAAACACTAGGCTAGTAGTTAAGCAAACTGCATGGAAGTCCTAGGTTTTCCATTAGCTGTTTATATGACTTCAGGGTTTAGAGTTTAGTTTCCTCTTCTGCAAAAGGGAATTATACTGTATCATCTTTATAGTGCCTCTCAGTGTTTTGCCAAACAAGAGTTCAAATAGCATGAAATTGTACCATTTGCCCCTGTGAAGTATGTTTCAATTTACCTCAAGCATAAAAACAGATCTCTTCTGATACCTTTTAAATTAGCACTTTGACCAATGTTTAATTATTTAATAAAATTATCCATTAAAAATACACAATCCAGGGGGCCAACGCCGTGGCTCACTTGGTTAATCCTCCACCTGCGGTGCTGGCATCCCATATGGGCGCCGGGTTCTAGTCCTGGTTGCTCCTCTTCCAGTCCAGCTCTCTGTTGTGTCCCGGGAAGGCAGTGGAGGATGGCCCAAGTACCTGGCTCCTGGCTTCCGATCGGTGTTGCTCCGGCTGTGGCAGCCATTTGGGGGGTGAACCAATGGAAGGAAGACCTTTCTCTCTGTCTCTCTCTCTCAGTGTCTCACTCTATCTGTCAAATAAATAAATAAAAATACAGAATTCAGTGATTTTTGATGTTACTACTGTTTTATTTTTTATTTTTAAATTTTAATTAGTTTTTAACAAATGATATGGTTCATAGACACAATTCTAAGAATATAATGATGTGATTTTTAATAAATGTTCTAGAGTTATGCAAGTGGCACCATCATTAAAATCCAATTTTAGGGGACTGGCATCGAGGCGTAGTAGGCTAAGCCTCCACCTGGCATCTCTAGGCACCAGTTCAAGTCCTTGCTGCTCCTCTTCCAATCCAGCTGTCTGCTATAGCCTAGGAAAGTAGTAGAAGATGGCCAAGTGTTTGGGCCTCTGCACTCGTGTGGGAGACCTGGAAGAAACTCCTTGCTCCTGGTTTCGTATCAGCCCAGCTTCAGCCATTACAGCCATTTAGAGGGTGAACTGGTGGATGGAAGGTCTTTCTCTGTCTTTCCCTCTCTTTGTCTGTAACTCTACCTCTCAAATAAATAAATAAATAATCTTAAAATAAAGCAGTGGCTTAACCTACAGCACCACAATGCCTGCCTGCCCCCCACATTTATTAAAAAATACCAATTTTAGATCATTTTCATCACTTAGTAAAACTCCCATGAGCCCATTTTCAGGCCATTCCCTCTCTTGTCCTCAGTCCCAGACAACCACTTAACTGCTTTCTGACATATAAATGTGTCTTTTCTGAGCATTTCATATCAATCGAATCATACAATATATAGGAGGATTTTTGTATCTGTGACTGACAAACAGGAAAAAAATTTGACAGTTGCCCATTGTGTTTGTTTCTGCTTCATTCAGCACTATTCAGGATATTAACGTGGCGTTTTCCACTTTATTGTTTGCCTTTTAATTTTACTAATGGTGTTTTCTGATGTCAGAATTTTCACCTGCAAAATTGTACATGGTCAAACCTACCAATTCTTGCCTTTTTAGTTTCTGACTTTGCTGTCATGATGAAAAAGTCCTTCCTTGTACTACAACTTTGTAAACATATCCCCCCACACATATTTGCCTCTGGAATCCCTGTGGTTTCATTTTTACAACTTTATATGTATTTCACCTTGAATTTATGTTGCCTTAAGATATTTGAGGAAAATATCTAATTTTACTTTTCAAATAATTATCCAATCATCCCTACACATTGAAACAAAAAATGTTTACCCATCGAAATATAAAATTTAGTTAAAGGAGAAAATTAAGAACAGGAAAAGGCAATGGGCAAAACCTGTGTCTTATAAATATCCAAATGTGGAGGCTAGGAGAGAAAAAAGGAGCCATAAAAGAACATTCAGTTACAGGAGAATCAAAACAGTTTGCTGTTACTAAAACCAAGGAACAAGAGATTGCAGAAGGAAAAAGGGTTATTATCTCAGACATTGCGTAGAAAGAAGAACGAGAAGTCATTGAATGTTTAAGAGGTTCTTGGAGAAAGCAGCTAATTGCATGGAGAGCAAGCAGACTGTACTATGTTGAGTAATGAAAGGGAAAGAAAAGCTATTAGTATTGAGAAGGCCAAGTATTTTAAGAGCAGATATTTGAAAGGTTTTCAAATGTGAATATTCAAGTCTCTGTCATCTCTCTGTCTCGACATTTGTTATTGATGTTAATGACGATGATAGTAGAGAACTCAGTGTACAGGAAAACTATGAGTCAGATTTGAAAGTCATCAAAGAAGAAGAAGAAGCATTGCACCATTTCCAAGCCCCTTATTTCTAATATAGTAGGTCCATCCGAGCATTTTGTCTTCTGCTCATCTTTACTAAAGTGTATGTGCCTGGGGATCCTTGGATATTCACAGTGATTCATGACTGGATCTTTAAGCCTGCTGTCTGGCAGCCAGTTGCAGGAGTTGGGGCACATGGAGATTTGTGTGTTATTGTGGGTGGACAGGAGAGTTGTGAGGAAATAGTCTGATAAAGGAAAGCACAGACGCCCTAAGTGGAGTTTCATTTCCCAGCTGCCACTTCCCCACCCAAAAGAGAATTTTAGAAAATAAGCAGTTAATGGGGGAAAAAGTGAAAGTTAATTTTGAAGTCCATTTTAATGGTTCACTTTTAATGGGCCACTGCTCCTACACTGGCATCCTTTGTCATTTAATAGCATGTTCTCCAGACAGCTGGCTTAGTAATCAAGACCTAATGAGAAAAAGTAGATAGAGAATTTAATGCATGAATCAAAAAACACTTGATGAGAGCTACGATTGCCTAGAATTTCTCTTGGTAGCTTATTTTTCACAGCTGCATGGTAACCTTTTCATTCTCATCAGAAATTGCAACAGGAGAGCATAAAAGCGTTTTCAAATACTAAAAAGAGCCCCTTCCGTGCAGTCTCCTATTAGTTCTGAGTTCTGTTCACTTCCTCATTTTACTTATGGAAAATACTAATTTGATTGATTTGACTGTATGATCTTTTTGTAATAATTAAATGAATTGTATCATCTGGCCTAAAGTAATATCTTATGTTTAAATATGCTGACCATATTCTCTTCTGGTTTCTGGAAGTGGAAACATAGTTAAATATGTATCTACTTTGAGATTTCCATTAAGTTACATCTTACAAATACAGATACAAAATAATCAGGGTACCTACCCATCTTATTTCAAAACCCTAACAACTGAAATTCAGAGCTGTTGATTAAATGGAGTTAGAGTCTCCTAAATGTCTAAGAAGGGAAAAAATCTTTCAATTGGAGCTTCCATATGACATGTCAAAAATCAATCAAAAATAACATTGGATTTCTCCAGAGAAATTGTACAAGCAAAAATAAGAATTTGTTTTAAATACAGTAAGTGTCAGGTTGAGCCAGAGTCTACGAAAACTGCTGATGCTCTTTAGCAGTTTCATTTTTATTCTTTTGTTTCTGAAAGGAGATTATTCCCTAACATAGTTTTTTATTTACCCTAACTTTCACTTTCCACCTCCTACCTTCCTCTCCCATGTCCTTTCTCTTTCTCTTTCCCTGTGCAAGAGTGAAGAGAAAGGAGGTGTGGTAGGGACTGATGAAGAAAAAGCTTGTGGGGCTGATGCTGTGGCATAGTGGGTAAAGCCGCTGCCTGCAGTGCAGGCATTCCATATGGGTGCCGGTTTGTGTCCTGGCTGTTCCACTTCCTATCCAGCTCTCTGCTGTGGCCTGGAAAAGCAGTAGAAGATGGTCCAAGTCCTTGGGCCCGTGCATGGGAGACCCAGAAGAAGCTCCTGGCTCCTGGCTTCAGATCAGCCCAACTCCGGCCGTTGCAGCCAACTGGGGAGTGAACCAGCGGATGGAAGACCTCTCTCTGCCTCTCCTTCTCTGTCTGTGTAACTCTGCCTTTCAAATAAATAAATAAATCTTTAGAAAAAAAAAACTTGCTGGTTTCACCGTTCCCACAACTGCAAACTTTAGCAAAAATAATCATTGGATGACTGAACACCTCAATTCCAACTTCTGTTTCTACCAAAATATATTCATGGCTGAGCAGTTTTAAACATTTTTACTATCCCAAGAAACCAGTATTTTCAAGTATAGAAGCAATTAATGTTGAGAAAATTAAATGTTACCACAAATCTTGTTTTTCAGCTGTATCATTATATTGGTGTACACATGAAAGTTACTTGATAGAAGCATATAGTCACCACATAGGGTGCCCTCTAGAGTTTTCACTGATTTCACAAATTCTACTTACTTATTTTCCAATTAGCTGAGCTATCTTTCTTGAGGAATTAATTACCAGACACGCTGACAGTATTTAGCTTTCAAACTTTGACTAATATTGAAATTATCTGTGCATAAAAGAAAACATACCTTGTTCATCTGTAATCACTTCATACTGTTATTTTAGAAAGCATCAAATAGTTTTTATTTAAGGCTTCTAAAATAATCAAATCACTCAGAAATATATTGCTTGTAAAGCACAAATGTACAGAGTGATGCCCAAGGCCAACCCTTAAGGAATGGTACAAGTAATGACCTCGCCAATAAGCCACCACGGGGACGTCAGCTCTGCAGCTAATGCTGGGGATTGCCCTCTCCCTTCATTTCATTCAATTGCTGATTATGCAGCACTTCAGATACCTGTGGGGATGAATAGATAAAATTGCCTCTGTCTGTCTAGGAACTATTCTTTTTAAGAAATTTCAAACTATATATCTATATCTATATCTATATCTATATCTATATATCTATGAAGTTAGAGTCTTCTAAATATATATGGAGTTCTATATATGGAGCACTCTTTATATGGAGCACTTTTCATTGACTCTGGCTCAACCTGACACTTACTGCATTTAAAACAAATTCTTATTTTTGCTTGTACAATTTCTCTGGAGAAATCCAATGTTATTTTTGATTGATTTTTGACGTCATGTGGAAGCTCCAATTGAAAGATATTTTTCCCTTCTTAGACATTTAGAAGACTCTAACTCCATATATATTTAGAAGCCTATATATATATATATGTATACATATATAATATATATAGGCTTAATAATATTCGTTATAGGAATAGGCCTTCAATGATTTCTCCATTCCTTTATTGTTAGGAATAAAATGTCTTCCATTTTTTTCTATTATAAATAGTACAGTGGTAGCTATCCTTATATTTGCACCTATCCACATGTAATGCTTTAGGATGCATTGCTAAAAGTAAAGTTGATATATATATATATATATATATATATATATTCCACCTACAAGTGAGGTTGTGCAAAATTTGTCTTCCTGGGCCTGACATATTTCACTTAAGCAGAATGTCCTCCAGGTCCATCTATGTTGTGGCAAATGTCAGCGGGGAGAGATTACATACATAGTGCTGGAGAATTAAACTATTGTCAAGAGGGTCCAGGTGGGACAGGGAAGAGGAAGTAGTGGGGAGATGTAAGCAATAAATAAATGCAATGAACAAGTCAAAAGGATTATGATTAACAATAATGTATTATGTTCAGAAATTTTGGTAAACGAATAAATTATAGCTGCTCTTGCCATAAAGGTGAGGCAGAGAGTAAATGAGTAACTATGTTAGATGAAGGATATGTTAATTTGCTTCACTGTGGTAATCATTTTTCTATATATGTGTTGTATTTCATGTAATATACCTTAAAGTATATAATAAATAAATAAATTTAAAAAATATTTTTAAAATAAATAAAATTTATTTTTAAAAAATCTAGTGAAAGAGAAAAATAAATTTATAATGAATGCAGAATTAAAACACTGCTAAGGCTTTCCTGAATGTCTTACATTTGAATTCTCATATGTGAGTTCCTGGGTAAGTCCTGATTTCCTCCTAATCGTCCTTCAGGCTTATACATGGCACCCCTATACATCTTTCCATGGAAAAAAATCCTGGGAAGGCTGATAACTGTTTTTATTCTGCATTCTAAGGTGAAATAAAATGTTGGTTACCAAGGGGCTGAAAAATTCTACTTGTATTTATCTAAGTAATCTCCATGATATGGCTGTGCAGAAAAAAAAGAGTTTATTTTTTTTCTAGGGAGTAGGAGTACAGGTAATCTGAGATACAGAGGATTATGTATACAGACACCCTATGCCTTGAATCAGCCATTTTTAGCTCGGACACACAGAGCTTTTTAGTAGAGTGATTTTCTGAATGGATTTCTCTTTTTTTTCCTCATTTTTAGAATATTAAATTTTAATTCAAAAATTGTAGAAAATATTGGGTAAATACAATTTTAAAAACACAGAAATAATCCTACCTCACAAGGATAACCTTTATGAAAATGGAGGTGGGAGACTATTTTTGCCAGTGAGATTATATATATATGTATGTATATATATATACATATACATATGAAACAATAGAGAGAATTATTCTTATCAATATTCACAATAAGCAATATATTTCATTGTAGAAAAGCATTTAAATACAAATAAGCAATAGGAAGAAAAATAAAAATCACCTCAATTCCATTCAAGACAATAAAAGAAATATTTTGATGTAAATAGTGACAGGTATTTTTTTGTTTTGCTTTACAAAACTAAGATCATGTGTACCTACATAGATTTTTATCACCTTTATATTTATCACTTTTCAATACATCATGTGCATTTTCCATGTTATTAACTGTTCTTCTACTTCATTTTTAGTGGCTTAATAACATTTATTGTAGGAATAGGTCTTCAATTATTTCTCCATCCCTCTTTTGTTAGCAAAAAAAGTCTTCCATTTTTTCCATTATAAATAGTACAGTGATAACCATCCTTATATTTGCACCTATTCACATGTAATGCTTTAGGATGCATTGCTAAAGTAAAGTTGCTCAAAACATATGTGAAATCAGTTTGCCATTTGTGTCTTTTTTTTTTTTTTTTTTGACAGGCAGAGTGGACAGTGAGAGAGGGACAGAGAGAAAGGTCTTCCTTTGCCGTTGGTTCACCCTCCAATGGCCACCGCGGCCGACGCGCTGCGGCCGGCACACCGCGCTGATCTGATGGCAGGAGCCAGGTACTTATCCTGGACTCCCATGCGGGTGCAGGGCCCAAGTACCTGGGCCATCCTCCACTGCACTCCCTGGCCACAGCAGAGAGCTGGCCTGGAAGAGGGGCAACCGGGACAGAATCCGGCGCCCCGACCAGGACTAGAACCCAGTGTGCCGGCCTAGTGAGCCGCGGCGCCGGCCAATTTGTGTCTTCTTATAATTGAGAAATTATTTATGTGATCTTGGACAAAGCATTCTCAATAAAGTTCTGAGATATGAAAACTGAAATCATGGCTTTTTTTTCCTATAGAAGAGCCCAATGAAGCTGTTCCAAATGAGGCCAGGGCTCATAAGGAGGAGGACCACCATGCAGAATCCGCAGATAATGTGGTATGTACAGTTTGGAATTCTTTCCTCATTACATGATGGATTTTTAAGGACATGTTCCCAGTTGGTGATAATATCAGTATTGTCAGAATAAAGTCTTGCTCTACTTCACAAACCAAAACAGAACATTTTCCAATCATATCCTTAAAGGCTTAATAAATGAAATTTAAAATGCTATAATTGGTACCTTAAATTTCCTCTATTTAGGAGATTTACAAACACTTTATACATACATGACATTTTATACATAAATTATTTATCTTCAACACACTTAGCAAAGAGCAGATTTCTTATTTGACAGATGGAAGAATGAAAATGGAGTTTAGTCTGAGATCTTTATGAATCCTTTGTTAGTTTTGACACTTGCACCCAAGGATATTTTGCTCCAAGTCCTCTGTTTAGACCATACCTATCTATATTGTATTTGGAACATTTTCTTCTTTGTAGTTAAAATGGTTTCTGTTAGGCATCTTAAAAATTGCTAGCAGTGAAGACGCCCACATCTCACATCAGAGTTCTCAGGTTCAATTCAAGGTTTCTGATTCTAGCTTCCTGTTAATGCAGTCCCTGAGAGGCAGCGGTGATGATTAGTCATTGGGTTTCCTGACGATCTCCTGGGACACCTGGATTGCCTTCCCAGCTTCAGGCCTCTGCTTATGGGGACAAGGAGGGGGCAGGCAGGACAACCCAGCCATTGAGGGCATTTGGGAATTGAAGCAGCAGATGGCTCTCTCACTCTCGCTCTCGCTCTCTCTCCAAACATACACACACAGACACACACACACACACACACAAATGTTTTCTTTCAGTTGCAGTGAAGGAGAATGACAATATTAAAAAATTTGAATAGCAGACAAAAGCAGGCAGAGTATGGATTGAAATGTGAAAATGTAAACATACAAGGATGTTCTCTAAGCAGCTGTTTTAGCAGCATCTGTTTATATTCTGACCCCATCAAGAGACACAGAAACCAAGACGGAATTAAACTAAAGTCAGATATAAAGGGGAATGTCATTATGCTTTTGGTTTTTCCTTTGAATCAGTATCCTGGGCTTGATTTCAACCATTAAAATATGGCCCTTATAATGGATTTTTCTGTTACAAATGGCTGTAACGTCAAGATTTACACTGCCTTCCCTTACAAGCATTATTTATTTGATACTATAATCCTGCCACACGTTTTAGTAAACATTGAGCACATAAAATGCCATTTTCCTCTTTTTGTTAAACATCGACAGTATATAACAGTGACTTCCACGTGCAGAATATAGTTTAGGATTGCATTTTAATGATTTCAGTTCTAGTTAAGGTCCATGTTTGACCTTCTAACACTAAATGCAACAAACATAGCTTTGATTTTGAGACACAATCGTGTTTTCATCGGGGAGCTAGTAATAATTTTTTCTGCAATTATGAATGGCGCCAATATCCTTAAATTCTGCCAACTAATAATCTCCTTCTGCTATAGATTTGAATTACAGTGTACAAATTTACATGGTTATTTACAAATGGAAATCTCCTTTCCCTAAAGTCGTGTTCATTGTTAGCCTGAAATTTTCTGCCTTGGAGCTCCCCTACAGCAGACAGTTGAAGATAATGAATGAAGTCATGGCATGGGATGACTCACAGCCACTTAGGCACCAAATTTTTTTTAAGAACAATCGATTTTCAGAGACAGAACTCCAAACTTTCAAAGGTTGATCTCTTCTGCCTGTAACTTCTGAGTGCCCCCAATTATTCATGGATGACAAATCACACAGACATATAAGACCTATTTATATACACAAATCTATACAGTGGCCTTTGGTGCCTTCCTTCCTGAAGTGCCAGCTCCTTTTTCCCAGAACCAATCTAAATAGGTAAAGAATCCAAAAGGGAGGAAAGAAGTATCAAGTCTGAGGTCTATGGAGAGCCGACATGATTAAGCCCCAAGTTTATAGTGATTATAATAGAAAACAAAGCATTAGATTCATCTCCAGGCAGCCATAGAAAGCAATTTCATTGCAGCTGTCCTCCTGACTCAGAAGCCTGCAGGTCACAAACCCTGTAATGGTATCGTATCCTCGTAGGTAATACATCAAACATGATCATTCCAAGTTTGTTTGTGACTTTTAATCACCATATATATTGCTGGGTTGGAAGCCTGATTTCAAATTCTGCCTACAACATGTTGCTATTAATGTGCTTGTTCTTAAAAGACTGTCTAGTGACTAAATCTAGCCTAGCTTTTCCCTTTTTAACATTTTCCTTTGGGTTGGCAGCATTTAAATGTTTAAAGGTATTTTTTTCTTAACTATATTTTTACATGCAGAAGAAAAATTTAGAGTTGATTTTATTTATGTGTTCTGTTTTTATTTTAAATTTTAAAAAAGAAAATGATCATGTGATTAGAGAACTTGCCTAATCCCCATAGTGGGAATTTATTGGTCATTCTTTGCATCAACACATTCTTCTTCATTCTTTTAGCAGAAACTTAATTAGTACCTACTGTGTGCAAGATACTGCATAAGCTATGCTGTACCTTAATTCTTCAGCTAGGGGAAGTATCTCTCTCTGTGTCTCTCCCTCTATCTCTCTCTTTCTCTCTCTTCCTCTCTCTCTCTTTTTCTCTCTCTCCCTCTCTTGCCTCCACATTCCATTTTTACTGTCCAGTAAAGGAAACAAATCACTACGCAATTTTTATTATTATATCACAGATGTCTGCTTCCAATTGTCTAGTTAATGAAGTGCAGTTAATATAAGAATTTTAAAAATTTATTTTGACTTTGGAATATATGTAGTTTGTTGACATTTTACAATAGAAATCACACAAAGGAAGATCCCCCCTGTGGGTTATATATGCTTCACCTTTACAATAGACTACCCTTACCAGAAGCGAGTTCCCTGACACTGGAGGGCGCTATTTAAGCAGAATTTGAATGCCTGTTTTTTCAGGGGTATTACGAGAAGGAAATATTTTTGTTTACTAAGCAGTGATCAATTAAAGGTAAAAGTAAGTGACTCAGAAACACACTATGTGTAACACTGAGAAGCCAGGCAATTTTCAATTTATTTTCAATAACCTAGACTAGATAACCTGATCACTAAACTTGAATATTGAATATGTGTAGTGAAAATAATCTGATGAGTATAGTGTAAATGAGTGTGGTGAAAATAATCTGATTCATCTGAAGAAAACTTTTCTACTTGCGTTACAGAAAATAGAAATTATCGACGATGAGGAAAGTGACTTGATAAGTAATTCTGAAGTAGAACAAGTGAATTCTCTCTTGGATTACAAGGTAAAAACTCTGAACTTATTAAAAGAAGGTATAAAATGAAGCAGTCTTGCAATACCTATGAGCCCTATCTGATAAGCTCAGTACTCTGGGACTCCGCGTTTATTCTCTTGGGCATTGTGACTATCAGTCAGGGTGTGCGGCATTCTAATTATTGCTGGCTGCTTTAGTGGCTGCAGTTTCAAGTAAAGACTTTGCTGAGCAAGAATAAGTATTGATGGTGTATGTCAAGGCAGGGCAGTGTATAGTGGCGGTTAATGAGGAATTTACGACAAAGTCTTTTGAAAGATAACATTCATTTTTAAATGAGGGTAAAGTGGGGATTTTTCCCCCAGTGGCCTTTGTTAACTTTATCTTGAATTGAAACTTCTTCTGAAAATAATTTTTAAAGAAATATAATAGTATACCTATTCTAGGAGAAATTTAAAAACAATTCCCAAAGGAAATGCAGAATGAATGACCTTTTCTTAATGTCACTTGTTACTAAATGGAAATGCTTACTTTGACAGCATACCGTATCTAATTTGGTTTCTACTAAATTTTGACATAAGCTATCAGTTTGTGCGTCAGTGTTTTCTGCTTAGATGTATAAAGACTATCCCTTTGTTAATCATTATCCTATCTTACTAGGTAACTTTGGGGCCTCCTGAGTTTTTGGCCACATGGTCCTTCCTTCCACACCCAAAACTTCTTTTCTTGGAATATTCTCTGTGCTCAAAGAAGAGATTAGTAGTCCTAAAACATTAGGCAAAAAACAGCATTTAATCAGAAAAGACAACAGCTGTCATATTATCAAAAATCTTTTCAGTTTTACTATAATGGAAATTTACGTCACTCAACAGATTCTGTTTTCCAAATGTTCATAACATGTCAGTCTTTAAAATATTAAACATTGTAAACACAGAAGGAAATTGTCTTTTGAAATTGGTTTCAAAGTGGTCAAAGAACACAGCACGATCCTGTATTTAAACTGTATTTCCAACTCACAGAATTCTAAATTTTTTGGTTCTGAAGCACCAGAGATCATGCTAATCTCACCTACATGGTCATATAATATTTCTAAATACTCAGTTCAGGATTAAAATGGCTCTGTTGGCCGCCACTTGGCACAGACTGTGGAAACTACAGACCAGAGCACTGGATTGCACAGCTGTTAAGTGTGCTCCACTTAGCACTCTCAAACAGGTCCGACAGGGTTGGGCTCTGGACTCAGAGGATTCTTTCCAGGACCTCTCCCCTCCAGGGTGGCAGCCCGTCTGAGAAAGTTCGGAGCTGAAGATCAGGCAGTGCAGGGTGGAGTATCTAGTCCAGAAATGTTAATTAACATTTTTACTGACCTCTAAAGCACATTTTAGTGATCTAGTGTTTTCCATTACGGTAAACGCTGAGGGAACAAGGGATCCTTCACTACCCTTCACATTTGGGATGTCATTTATAACTCATCCCCATCGTACATACACTTCTGTAATTCTCAGAAATCAGCATCTACACAGAAGATGTTATTTAAAAAATACTTCATCTCACCTGTGAACCCTGTTACCTTAATTCTAAGGTAAGTGTAAGTAAACTTCATATAGCAGTTATTGTGGATTTCAGAATGTTGATGTAAAACAACATTACCAGCTTAGAAATCTAATCTGTCTTCAGAGAAAATTGTACTCTCTCTGTGTACAAATAGTAGTGTTCCTTGTTTGAAGATGAAAGTCATGTTATTGGTCTTTTAAATATATTCATCATAAGCTTCTTGAGGCAAAGATTTATTTTAATCACTTATGTGTTACCTGGTTAAGACCCTGGCATGTACATGTTCAGTTGCTGAGTGAGTAAATAAATGAATTAATTTATCTTTGGAAACAATGTTAATAATATTATGCAAATGTTCATTTATATAAAAGCTATTAAGATCAGGAGCTGGATCATTATAAATTTTTCACACACTAAATTAGTCTGTCATTCTTGGGATTTATTATAGCAAACTAAAGAGTGCTTCCTATGATGCATTTGATAATTATTGCTGTATGACCATCGATATTCAGTCTGGGCAGAGTGGAGTTTCTGATTGAGAAGCATCACTAGATTCCACATGCTAGGAGTCCTAACTAGCCCCAAATGCTTATGAGACAAGTTGATGGGCCTAATACCCAAGGCATGAGTAGCTATGTCATAAAATAGCACCTCGGCTTGGCAGCCATTAATAGCCTGTGCAAAGATCAAAGCTCTGGTCCACGTGGATCCTTGAGTGCTCCCTATAGTCATTGTGGAGAAAAATTGACAAAGCTTACTGGGAACCTAAATAGGGCTTTAACAGTAAGAAAAATGAGTTAGATCTTGTTCTGTGCAATTCACTGACTGATGTTATCTGACTAGTTCTTCTCATAAGCACTCCATTTACTTAAGAAAGTCTTTAAAGTACACATAAATTACTGCCTATAATCTAGGAAGTATTTAATAGGCTGGTAAGAAAACAACTCCAAGAAGAAAATGTCCACAATATTAAATTATCTTAAAGCTGTTTATATTTCTCAAACATTTCATAAATACTGAGGAGAAGAATTATTTGCATGAAGAATTGGAGTTCTGCATATCAAAAGATGCTTGGTGACTTTAGCAAATATGAATTAATGTTTTCAGAACGTTTTCTAATGGACTAGGAGTGCAGCTCAGAAAGACTGTGCATTCAAACGAGACACTACTATCATTATATGATATGATACCTCCCAGATTCAGAAAGACTTCCTGGTCAGCACTTCAGTACTACTGCTCCGACAATGAATACCAACAAAAACAAAAGTTTAGAACTAGTACTATGTGTTATGGTGAGAGCATGTTGAATTTTATTATAATGCTTACTTATAACTTAGATTGTTGTAGAGTGCCTCTGGATAAGAAATTTAGCTTGTGCAGATGATTCACTTGATAGTAAATGGTCTGAAAAGGAAGCACTTATATCAGATAAAATAAGTTTTAAACAGAGCTGATAAAATAAATGATGCAGTAAACATGTGCAGAGATTGAATATGATTAATACAACAGCATCTTCTAGATTGAAATAACAAAAATGCCCATAAAGCCAGCTGGTTCTAATTTATTTCCATGCAGCTTTTTGAACAAGTGCTGTTGAAGGTCCTGCTACACTCTCCTGCAGCTCTCCAGCTAGCTGCAGAGAATACTCACAGCTGACATTCATGAGTTTTGCCAGCAGAACTGGCTCTTTTTTTTTAATAATTCTTACTTTTAAATATCAATTGACAACTTAAGACTTTATGCATTTATGGGGTCCAAAGTAATGTTATGATTTACACATACAATATAATATAATGAAGTCAAGCTAATTCACACACCCATCACCTCACATCTCATCATTTTTGTTATGAGAAGATTTTAAATTTACTCTTACCAATTTAGAAATGTACAATACATTATTATTATTTACTATATTCACCACATATATTACTCAGCTTTAAAAAAGAAAGCAGTCATTTGCAAGAACATGGATGGAACTGAAAAACATTAGCTAGCTGAAATAAGCAGGCATAGAAGCACAGCTACTGTATGTTCTCCCTTTTATGTGGAATCTGAAACAATTGAACACAAAGAAGCAGAGTGTAGAATAGGGGAAGGAAGTGAATGGAGAGACGATGGGCAAAGGATACAGGAATAAGGGCTTTTTTCCTTTGAGGTGATTTTGGTTTTAATCAAGTGTGTTGATATATAATTTCTGTACAATGAAATTCATCTCATTAAGTTTACAGTTTGATGAGTTTTGACAAGTGAACATAGTTGTGTAAACACCACCACAGTTTGTTTATTCACCTGCTAATGAAAGCTGGACTGCTTCCAGTTTGGGGCTATTATTAATAAAACTGCTATGAGTATTCATGAATAAGTGTTTTTGTGTACATGTGTTTGTTTTTGTTTCGGGTAAAAATCTATGAGTATGATTACTGAGTCATATGATAAGAAAGAATATTTTGAAATTTATAAGAACCCGCCAAATGTTTTCCAAAGTATCTGTACTGCTTTACACTCCCAGCAGCAGTGTATAAGTCTTCTAATCACTCCACATTCTCATCAGCACTTGATGTTTTCAATCTCTTCAACTATAGCCATTGTTGTATGTTAGCAGTAATATCTCATTACTAATGTTTTGATTTTAATTTTCTTAATGGAAAATGATATTTAGCATTTTTGTGTGCTTATTGGCCATTCATGCATCTTCTTTGAAATGTGTGCTCAAATTTTTGCTTCCGTTTTTCTTCTGTTGCTGGTTCTATAATTGACTTCATAGGATTCTTTTTCATATTGTGGATACAAGTCTTTTTTCAGATACATGATTTGCAAATGTTTTGCACAACATATGGCTTGCATTATTATTTTTTATTTGCAATACCTTTTTTTTTAATTTGAGAGGCAAAGAGACAGACACTTAGAGAGATCCCTTCCACTGGTTCACTCTCCAAATGCCCACACTGGCTCAGGTTGGGGCTGGACCTGGACAAAACTGGGAGACAGAAACACAGTCCATGTCTTCCACATGGATGGCAGAAATCCAATTATTTGAGCCATCACTGATGCCTTCCAGGGTCTCCATTAGCTGGAAACTGGAGTCAGGAGCCATAGCACGCTATCAAACCCAGGCATGCCAATGTGAGACACAGGCATTGTAACCAGCAGCTTGACTGCTATGCTAAATATTCACCCCTGCACATTAATGTTTAATTCTATTTGCCACAAACTTTTAATGCTAAAAATATTTTTGTTTGCATTTTTTAAAAAAGATCTATTTATTTATCTGAGAGGCATAGTTACAGATAGAGAGAGGGAGAGACAGAGAGAGATGTCTTCTATCTGCTAGTTCACTTCCCAAATGGCTGCAATGGCCAGAGCTGGGCCAATCTGAAGCCAGGAGCCAGGAACTTCTTCCAGGTCTCCTACGTGGGTGCAGGGGCCCAAGCACTTTGAGCTATCCTCTACTGCATTCCCAAGGCATCAGCAGGGAGCTGGGTCAGAAGTGGAGCAGCCAGGACTAGAACTGGCGCCTATATAAGATGCCAGTACCGTAGGCAGCGGCTTTACCTGCTATGCCACAGTACTGGCCCCTTGTTTGCATTTTTTTAAAATGTGTATTTATAGGACCAGCTTTGTGGTATGTGTAGCACGTTAAGCTGCAGCCTGCAGCACAGGCATCCCATGTGTGTTCCAGTTTGTGTCCCGGCTGCTCCACTTCCAATCCAGGTCCCTGCTAATGTCCTGAGAAAGCTCTGGAAGATAGAAGACAGCCCAAGTGCTTGGACCACTGCCACCCACATACGAGAACTGGATAATGTTCCTGGCTTTGGACTGGCCCAGCTCGGGCTGTTGCAGCCATTTGGGAAGTGAACCAATGGATGGAAAATCTCTCTCTCTCTCTCTCTCTCTCTCTCTCTCTCCTCTCTCTCTCTCTCTCTCTCTCTCCCTTTCTTTCGGTAACTCTGACTTTAAAATAAATAAATAAAGCTTTTTAAAAAGGGTTTATTTATTTGAGAGGTGGAGAGACAGATAGAGCTCTCACCTGCTGATTCACTTCCCAAATGCCTGCAACAGTTAGGGCTGAGCCAGGCTGGAGTTAGGAGTCAGATTTTCAATCCAGAGCTCCCATATGGGTGGCAGGAGCCCAATTACTTGAGCCAGCATCACTGCCTCCCACCGTCTGCATTATCAGGAAGCTAGAATCAGGAGCCAAAGCCAGGTATCAAATCCAGGTACTCTAGTATGAGACTTGGACATTTTTTGGTGGAATCTTTCTTTTAAGCATCATGTTTATGTGCTTATTTAAGAATTATTTTCCTAAACTAAGGTCACAAAAATTTCCTTGTCTGTTTTCCTTTAGAAGTGTTTTAGTTTTAGGTTTTATATTTAAGTTTATGATCCTGTTCCTGTTAAATTTTGTATATGATGCAAGGTAAGAGTTGATAATCTTTTTCTTTCTCTGTGGATTTATGTTTGTACTACCACTGTTTGATGGAAGCGTATACCTTCTTTGTTCATTGAATTGCTCATCAGTTAAGTCAAAAATCAATCTTGAATTGCTCATCAGTTAAGTCAAAAATCAATCAATCATGTATAAGATTAGTTCAAAATGTTCAAAATTTATCTTTTAAGTTTCTTTTGATGTAAAAAATATATAATTGGAGTCCATCCACACAAGTAGTCCTCAGGTTTACAAAAAATGTATATTACAAAGAAACTGTGCATGAATTTCAGTTTTTGAACCAAAATAAGACTATTTTTATTCCATCTTTAATGAACATTTTTAATCCATACAAATACATTTTTACTTAAATTTAGAGTCAATTCAATTATGTTATAGCTAAATATGTTGTTAAGTATTTTTCATATCACTTAATATAAAAGGACATAATTTTTATGATTTCCTAGTATTTTTTCATTTACATATGATTTATTTAATTTTTGCTGTATTCATTTTTTGTTTTGTTTTGCTGCAAATACAGTGCTTTGTCAAGCTTTATTTTAAATATTTATCAAAAATTGTTAAGAATCATATACTACTAAAATTTTAATGATTTTGTGACAAAATTTGTTAGTGAAGTTGAACATCTTTAAAAATTTTCTAATTTCTCTTGATTTATTCGTTTTTTGAAAGATTTACTTATTTATTTGAAAGGTAGAAATACAGAGAGAGAGATAAACAGATATTTTCCATCCACCGGTTCACTCCCCAAATGACTACAACAGCTGGGGCTGGGCCAGGCTGAAGCCAGGAGCTTTTTTCAGGTCTCCCAAGTGAGTGCAGCGGCCCAAGCACTTGGGCCATCTTATGCTGCTTTCCCAGGCCATTTGCAGAGAGTTGCATCAGAAATGGAGCAGCCTGAACTCAAATCAGTGCCCATATGGGTGGAGGCTTATCCTTCTACGCCATAGCACTGGCCCCAGTTGAACATCTTTTAATTTGTTATCATTTATAGATCTTGCCTATTTTCCTCCTGGACTACTGTATTTTGACTTTTTATTTGTTGACTTTTTTATTTAGTAGAGTGTTATGCATTTGAGTACTGTGTAAAATAAAAATGTTATCCCATGAACATTTTGAAGCACCCTCATATGTGTTAGCTTATTTCTGGGCATTCTGGTTCCACTGAAGTACATGTCCATCCTTACACCAATACCATATTTTCTTGATTATTATATTAATTTACTAGAAATTACTATATTATTAACTTTCAGAGCACTTTCATGACCATTCTTATTTGAGCCTTATAACCCTCAAAGCTAGAACTTGCAAGAATTACCAGTATAAAACCCATTGTCCTGATCAGCAGTCACAGAGCCGTCAGTTGTCCTACTGACATTTACAGTTATGTGGCCCTGACACTAGTATACTCCTCAATCACAGTCCAATTTTCTCTTCCTATACAACCATCATGGAGACAAGAAACTGAATTTCACATCAGTGGTACACAGTGTTACCTTTGAAGACATTTTCTGAATAGCAGACTGCTACTTAATGGCTCTGCAAACTACTACCTAAAACAGTCTTAATAATTTCTATGCCTCCTTGCTACAAAGTAACCTTTTTAGTTCTCAGTATCTGGCTTTCTGAATGGTACATTCAGCATTACTGCATCTGCTATTGCTATTAAGGTTAATTGAATTTTTATCTACTCTTAATCCTAATCCAAATGCTAATTAGGTTTGATATAGGAGGAGTCCTTCCAAGAAAGGAACTGTTTCTTGTTTTTTCTCTTACCAGAGTTTAGGTGATTGGATTTTTAACCTTGAAAAATTGTTTTCTGTTGATGATTTGTTTAAAAGACAGCATTTGGCACCAGAATGGAGCTGCAATGGGTTAAGCTGCTGCCTGTGACTCTGGCATCCCATGTGAATGCCTGTTCAATTCCTAGCTGCTCCGTTTCTGATCCAGCTCTCTGCTAATGTACCAGGAAAGTAGTGGAAAATGGCTCAAGTACTTGCGCCCCTGCCACCCTTGTGGGAGACCAGGACTGAGTTTCTGGCTCCTGACTTCTAGCCTCACGCAGCCCTGAGTGTCAAGCCATTTGGGGAATGATCCAGCGGATGGAAGATCTCTCTCTCTCTCTCTCTCTCTGTCTTCTCTCTCAATCTCTCTCCCTCTCCTTCTCTCTCTCTGTAACTCTGCCTTCCAAATAATAATCAAATCTTTAAAAATAATAATAAAAGGCAGTATTTTACTAACAGAAGAATTTCCTTATGTGCTTTATATTCCTTCATGCTAAAATTTTATTTTCCTTATTATCTCTCTAATTATATTGTATTTTAGAATTTTATTATTCATCAAACATGTACAGTCCTAGATTTACATAAGATAATTGTATTGTTTGATGTTTTCTCCTTCAGAATGAAGAAGTCAGATTCATTGAAAATGAGCTAGAGATTCAGAAACAAAAATACTTTAAACTTCAGACTTTTGTTAGAAGCTTGATACTAGCTATGAAAGCTGAGGATAAAGAACAACAGCAGGTAGGTCCCAGAAGAAACTAGCGAGCTATAATGTATCATGTTGAAAAATGGCATGTCACATTTGTGTTCTTCATAACTTTTCATTTTGATGCTTCATTCCTACTTGGCATGGTAAAAGTGATTGTTGCTTCATGTCCTTTATAAACAGTTTTCTTAAGAGTAGATGTTCAGATGTTGTGTGCTGCTTTAGTGGAAAATCAAAATAACTGATTAGTATACTTTATTAATGCCAGACTAGACTTTAAGTAGAGGGAAAAATCCATTTTAAAATGAACTTTAAAGAAATTCTTCAAAACGTTTGCAGACACAGGGCTACCCTAACTAAAGGGACACATATTTTGGGATCTTTTATGAGTGAAAGAGATAAGGCATTTATTTGCCTCTCTTCTGGATCCTAGTCACCTGCTAGCTCCCACTAGGGTTCATGGTTGTTTGAGAGTCCTTTATTCTGGTGATATTGTTGCTCATTACTAAGAAAATATGAAATTCCTTGGTGAAATTATTTGTGACCACAGTGCATCACTTGTTTTTCCCAGTCGAAGTAAAATATTTTAGTCTTCTACTACAAAAATGAAATGTACCATTTTTTGTTTGCCATTTGGGTTGTTGCTACAAATTCCACTTCATAATTTCATGTGAACTCTAAATGCCCATACTAAGCTTGTTAAAAAGAATCATAGGATCATCTAATCTTAACTGAGGCCAACTTTGCCTCTGAATTGTATCCCAGCATGCTGATTCCTAATCAGGGAAGTTCTATATGATCATGTGAGGCACAGGTCACCAGTACTCAGGAAGCAGTCTCAGAGAATTTTGTGCAGTGAGGAATATCAGGAGTACAAAAATTCATCCCTTATACACGAGCAAAACTGTGTGTACGTAGTCTATACTGTATATCTCCAGCAGAAAAGATTAGAACCTTAGCATCCCACAATTCTCCCTTTTTTCAAAGAAAAAAGTCTTTATGTATTTTACTGACATGTTGAACCACAAAATTTAAACTACAAGTGTTTACTCATGAGGCTCAAACCAGTATGTGTATTATGTGTCCAGTTTCATGAATTTTCTTCCTCACTCCCTGATAGACACAGACCTCCCAAGACAGTAGCCTTCAGTTACCTTTGCCAGCTTTATTTAAGTATATTGATTTATTATATGAGTTATGCACATTCCATGGGCTACTGGAGACATGTTTGTTTTTTGGGAACCCAAAATGCAGACTTTAAATGAATAACAGTGGCAGTCTTGAATGTGGTCCCAAGGGTACTATAAATTTTAAATAACTGTAAAAAAAAATTAGATCCAACCATAGGAATGACTTGGAGCATGGTCCTGGACTCAAAAGTCATAACACAGTTTTGAATTCAGAGTTATACGGCTAGCTACCTAGCATGATCTATGTCTCTTGACATCTAGGAATAGCATACAAACTCCATTTTCTTTTCTAATTGCAATCTCATCCCTTGCTTGGTTCTTTCCCCAAGACCACTAACAAAAAGAAAAATAACTAATGTACACTTATGTTTATCATTCTCTTCTACTTTTCCTCTGATAAAAGAATAATGAACAAAGATATAGACAAAATGTGGCTGAAAGAAAAAGAAAATGACTCAAAAATTATACTGAATAGCATATCCTATATAATCAATCTCCCAAATAGAAACTATTGATTTTCATAGCTGAGATTGGGTATAATGGATCTCAGAATATGAACTCTAAATATAGAAGATACCAATAGCAATACACAAAAGTTACCCAAGTGATCTCTTAAAATTCTACTTTTTATAATATGAAATATTTAGAGATCTCTTCCTGGGAGGTTTAATTTCTATTCTAGATATTGAAAGAGAACCCTTTTGTCACTGGTTTCTAATTGTTAAAAAATTATCAGTGTTTTGCCATTATTTTTGATTTGGGTAAATTGAGGTGCGTGGTCCACAGGATATATCAGCCCAATGAAGAAGTCTGGTATTTTTAAAAACAATACTCTCTAACATTAAATTACTCAAAGGTATTTTTCTAACAAACTAAATACTTGTTTAAAATCAGAATAATGTTTCAGGCATTGTACTAAGTCATTATTTATAGTCATTCTTCTCCTGATAATTTACTATATGACCCTAGCTAGGTCAATTGCCTTTCTGAATTTAAATATTCCCACTTTATAAGGAGGACAAGAATGGTTAATATTACAGACCTGGCATTCACACCCTAGGGCCTAGAATAAGTACTATCAATTCTGATCATATATTCAGGAAGAACTGTGATCTTTTGGGAAGAATGATACTACATCAGACCCTGACGATAGTTGTCATCAATGATGACTCGGTATTTAAAAAAAGTCAATTGTGATTTTTTTAGTATCTGTGAAATAGGCAGTTGCAACAACTACTATAACCCAAAGATTTGCTCAGTGTACCAATGTTGCCATCCAGTAAGATATCAGAAAAGAACTTTAAAGTGGATCTTGTACATTAGTAGTGTCCTTCTCTGTCTTAGATCTAAAATTTTTGTATTCCTGACTACACACACTTTAGTCAGTCAACTACATGTGATTCAATGGCAAAGAAGTAATTTGATTCATGAGTCTCCCCTTAGGATTTAGAATATCATTAAACTTCATCTGCTTGAATTCCTAAGACTCTAAACACATATTTATTGAGTGCTCATGAGAACACTTCTCTTTTTTATATGGCACTCCCAAAATTGCACAGTGAACTAACATTAGTGATGTGTCTCCTCACAGACTAGTCAGTCAGCATCAGCACAGGCTCCATTGCACCTAAACTGGGTTAGGATCAACAACTGTTGTGGAAGAAAATGGTTCTGTGTCCTATTACTGCAACTCAGCGCCTTAGAAAGCATGGAGTACCTTTGGTGACTTTGCTGTGTAAATACTCTCAGCTTCAGCAAGAAGTTCAGAGACAATTTAATCGGATAAAATCAGTATCAGCTTTTCTTCCCAACAGGAGTTAGTCTTTTCTTATACAGCCTGACAAAAAGAAGACAGTTTTAATCTTGGTCCTGTGCTACAAGACAGAAGAGTATAAACTTTGTAGCTGTCAGTTCTTTTAATAAAAATAGGAGAATACTATCTTATTTCAACAGTAGATTTCATATGTGCTCCAACATGTCCTGTCTTTCTGTTCCTTAATTGGGTAGTGACAAGCTTTCATTTGTCCCTGTTCCCTTGGTCTTTGTTTACCACTGCACCCAAAACAAGTGATGATGTCTAAAAATTCCAGATATGCTACATTATCTTTAGCATCAGGAGCCGAAAATCCATCATTTAGTTTATAATTTCTTATGGTCAAATAGGCATCAGCACTGTCAGCCACATAAAACTTGATTAATCATTTATTTCTCTGATATGGATGCATGTTCTGCACCTCCAGATGAAACAATTAGACCATAGCAAAGCTTAGTTCATGGTTCTTGGCTTATCCTAATTACTCCAGCAGAGAAATGAGCAGCCTTCCAGATACATCATTACAAGCAGCTAAATTCACTGATTCAGCTGTGCCCTGGTCGGTGCTTGGCCATCTGTAAATATGGACATAGCCTAAAGAAAGAAAAAAATGATGTTTTGTTCAAGTTGTCAAGTTCAGTTTGAAGTCGAGTAAGTTGAACTTCTTTCCTAAGAAAGTTTATTCTCTCGCAGAAAAACAATATGGGTTTTTGTGAAATGTGGATTTCTTTAACAGATAGCATAACTGGGCATGAATATTTTAATAGTGAACACAATTTTAAAGCCCTTTAGCAGTGATCAGTGAACATTCAAAACCAGTATAAAAATCACTTACCTCAAACACTTCAAACCATTTGGTTCAGAATAGTTGCTCATTTCCCTCCTGATTTCTCCTTTGTGCAGGGTTCCACTCTGCATAATTCACACTGTCAACATCTAGTATTGTGTTACTTCCTTAGTGGGGTATGAAGAATTTTTCTTTTAGGTAAGTCCTTGTATAAGAACCTGAAAGAGAAATTATTCTTTATTTAAATCCTTAAGAATATATCAACATGAGAGGACTACCACTATGAACATAAAATTAGGGGGAAAAAGTATATCCACATACTAATCCAAAAATAAATGATTTTTCTGATTCAGGCACTGCTGTCAGATTTACCTCCTGAATTAGAAGAGATGGATTTCAATCATGCCTCACCGGAGCCTGATGATACCTCATTCAGTGTGTCTTCTTTATCAGAGAAAAACGCCTCAGACAGTTTGTGATTTGAGGGGGGGATATGTGATGCAGCCTTTGGGCTGTCTAACAGGTGTGCATTTCAAGATAACTGCATTCTGTTGTCCTGATATTCTTCAGTTGGAAAAATACATTGTTGAAACAGACATATTCTGTGACGGATGGACAAGATATAATGGCTACCATGAAAAAAATGCATGTGAAATTTAAAAAGCGTTGTTTGAGTTTTTTCCAAACTGGTGGAATACTAGAAAAATTAATTTTTAATTTTGGACAGTTCCACTGAAATGCATTACATCTAATTTCTAAAAGGTTTCTGTTTGGTTGTAGAAAAAATTCTTAAGTTTTAGTAATAGATTTAACCAGAGACACAAAAATGAATGCATTTCAGCATTACTTATCAAGTTGTAAGAGCTGTATTAGTCTTAATTTGTAGCCATTACATCTTTCTTCCTCTCTCTTTTTCCTATCATTCATATAACACTTTTACTCAGGAAAGTGGACTGAAAATCAAAAACAAATTTTAAAAATTTATTTCCCATGGATGAGTCCTGGGATTTCTTTTTAACCCCTCGAGGATTTGACTTAAGTTAATGATTTACAATTGAAGTGATTACTAGTATGTCATTGTAAATTGTTAGTATTCCTCTATTATCTAACCCAAATATTTGTGGGGAGGGGGGAAGTACTTTGGAAAGTTAAATCACCAACATAAATCAAATGAATTATTAAGTGTACAGAAACAAAATGTTGTAAAAGATTAGTCTCAATGGGAATTCTTTGTTGCTGCAAATGACAAATATTGATAATTCACATTCTACTAGTAAATTTATATAACTGAGTTAGATTAAATCTTTCACAGATTTGTCAAGTTTATCACTATGTTCATAATATTTTTTCCATTCTTACGTTTTATGAAACAGGAAGTCAAGGTAAGATTTGTTTTAATCTAGCCACTCAGCTTTGCCACAAAATTTACCTCATTTCCATGTGAGGCCTGTACAGAGCCATCAGCCAAGGATAATATCCAAAAAGAGTTACACCACTTTGGTTGTAAATCACAGTCCTCTGGATTTCCTGGAAACTATTCTCTGAATACACACCTAAAATTGGCATGCTACCCAGTCGTTCTATTAGTAGGTACCAGATGGCAACACACTGTAGACAGTTTTTTGCAGATCTTCCCTTCCGGGGTACCAGATGGTATCACCAAGACCCATTCATGGGAAAATGCCAGTTTTTCCCTAAGCTCACAGTGTCATATATTTGTAACTTGGCAGTGTGGAATTGTGTTGCATGGTTAATTTAACTATCAATACCTAAAAGATTAATGAAGTAGCTAGAAAGCTGTTTTGGCCATCAAATTTCTATTTCAGATTTTTTTTAAAAAATTCAATTAGAGTAAGCCAATTTTTATCTTGGAATTCACTGATATCAACTTATGAATGCAAAAAAAGTCATGAATTTATTGACCTTTGAAATATTCCCCTGTATACACACACACACACACACACGCATAGGTAAGGTTTGTCGATGGTCCTTCCTACTTGCTAATTTGATATTGCTCTCATGCTACTGTTATGGCTCCTTTGTTAGCTGAAATAGTTCAGTGGTCAAGTGGCCAGGTGTGCTCTCTTTCAGCTGAGAGCCATATGGTTCTTTGCAAACAATGTTTAGTACTCCTTGCTGACAAGTCAAATTCCATTCAAATAGAGCGCTGATTAACAGAACCCTAGATATCAGGATTACATTTATCAGTCACACCAGTTCCTCTGCAAGATAAGGAGTCCGGACTATATACAGCAAATGTAGAAACCATTTCTTAAAAGCTTGAACAAACCCCAGGCCTTCAACTCTCACAGGGGTCTCCCTTCTAGTCATTAGTTTATTTTTCAACTTGAATTTCTTCTGCTTCAATTTAAGCCCTGCAACCCTTAGTGAGTTCTCATCACAAAGTAAATGCTGATAGTTCTCTCCTATATGTCTCAACACTATGGATTGTGTTTGCCACACTTCAGCAATTGGTCACAACATCAAAAATATTTGTCGAGCTCCTACTATAAGGAAGGCACTGTGCTGGACACTGACCACTTCAAAAAGAATTATTTCTTGCTATCTTTTTCAAAGACATTTTAAACAATTATTGAAGTAGAAATTTTGATAGGTTTAAGTATTCCGCTGGGTGTGATTCCTAGAAAAAAATCCTAGTCTACAATTTTCAGAGGAAGTATAGATGATTTCCTTTTCCCTGTTTAAAGTTCCATTAAAATAGAAGCTGTATAGTCACAACAGTACACTTAGGACCCCTTTTATCTTAGCATTTTTGTTTCAGCACCAGGATTATTTCTTTTGCTATCATTGTAATTAAAAACTTCTAAAATAAAATGTGGCTGTTTTGTAGCAGGAACCAAAGAAAATAGCTGGGGCCAGAAAGTAAAATCACAATTGGAACATTGAAAATATGCACCATAGATTTTAAAGACAATATCAAAGTCAAGTATTAAAAAACTATTATGCAGTAGAGGTATTTTTCACATATATAGATTGGAGTTGGTTTTGAGACATTTTAGAGCAGAAAAAAATACCAGCTTGTGACTTGTGCTAGTGAACATTTTCAAGGCTCAGGGTAAAAATCAACTAGTGTTTTCTTTCTTTAGGGCTTTGACAGGATTAGAACACACCATAGTGTCTGAAGCATTTCTCAGAGAGACAGAAGTCAAGGTGAAAAAGACTTTTCATTTTAATTAACTACATTTTGTTGTTTACTTTAAGCTTAGGATAGCCAACCAGTTTCTAAGTGGGGAATGTATGTTTCAGAGCACTTACCTTCCAAAATGTCTATTAAAAAACAAAATGGAAGGTACCTTTCTGGTTTCAGCCCAGCTAAAATTAGCCACAAGAAAGCGAGCACATAAGAAAAATGGTAAAAGAAAATTGGTCTCTTTGTGGAACCTGGAGATGTTTTGTTGTAAGGTCAGTTATCAACATCAGGTCTTTTGTACTGCCATTGCTATCGTGTGATAGAAATGTTTATTACTGTTGAAGAAGGAAAGACTGTGACCCAATCACATCCTGTGCTCTGTATACAACCCAGACCACAAAAGATGTCCAAGAGGCCACAGCTCCAAAGACAGCAGCATCTATTTTAAGGCACTTTCATAATCAGCAATCTGTACGTTTGTAGTAGAAAATATAGGTGTTAGACATAAAAGAATTCTGGGATCAAAAAATTGACTTTGTTGCCTTTTGAAGTGGGGCTGAGATTCAGCCCAGTTTCAAGGGATGATTTCCTCATCTCAGCCTACTAATTATTAATCATTTTTCAGAGAAATTCTGAGAACTTTAATTCCAACTCTTCCTCCGCATCACAGTCATGTTATACTAGGAAAGTTGTCTATTTTGAAAATATATTAAAATCCATTCAGTTAATAAAACGCAAAGTTTTGATAGGTTAGCCTCTTAAGAGCACTATCAGTACTATCCTATCCAGTAAATTTACTTTTCAGTAAATCATGGACGAGTGGATAGACTTCTCTTTGAAATTGGTGTTATCCTTGGCAGACAGCACTGTATCATGCTTTTCACCAAGCTACGCTCTGTGATGCTATAATGGAGGAGCCTACTAACTTGTGAGCCTGCTGTCAACATATCATTGCGCAAAACAAACCTTTATTAAAAGCAAATTTACTAAGGGGGAAAAGAGAATAAAGCGATATTTTTCATGCAAAAATAATTATAATTGTTCCAGTAGAGTGTATACTGAGTATATATTGCCCCACATTGAAATTTTATTTTGCATTAACTTGTTAAGTAATTCCTTTTAGCAATCCTGCATCTCATTTTACGGTACTACCTCTGAAACATACTATCACCTTAAAACCACATCAGACTGTAATGTGAATTTTTGTAGGATTTTTATTTAAACTTTTATAGAGGCAATAAATGATTTCCAACTAATTGACATCTATTTCTTTCTTTTAATGTTTATTTTTCCAAGACTTTGTGTTGTAAGCATCTTCCCCTTTTAAAGTGAATTATTTCTTCCCTCAAATAAGGTTCTGATAAAAAGAAAATTGCAGAGAATAATAATGTGTTAGGGGTCAAAGACAGGAAAACATCAAGTTATCAAGTGAAGATTTGGTTGACTTCCAAGCTGCTGTGTTTATTATCCTTAATTGATTTTACTTAACAAAGAACTACTCCAACACAAATGGAATAAAGTGAATATTCTCTAATAGCAGCAAGCTTCTCCCAAGTAGCATATTTAAATGGGAGAACTAGCTACTAAATTGCCACAGTATAAACCAAGAATGGTATTTTTGCAGCATTTTTTTTACATGGCAATGTTCATCTAACTTTACTTCACTCTCTTTGACATCAGTTGAGCATGCTTTTAATTTGGGTGAAATATGTTCATGCCTTCTTTGTCAAAGTCTTATGTCAATTAAAACTCTTCATGTTACCTAACTAGTGTGGAAGAAAAGGGAAGGGCAACGGGTGAGTTTCAAATAGCACATCAGCAATTTTCCTTCCCAGTTGATAAATTTTCAAGAATCCTGCAAGGAGAAAATCACATACAAACATGCACTTAAATGGCTCAAGCCTTTTTCAGATCTGCAAAAGCGTTAAAGATGATGAAACTCTTTGATTTTATAAAGATGTATGGGAATCATTACATGTCTATTTAAAAGACAAGTCAATGGATCATAAAGCTGAGTGATATTTTCCATCTCTTGATATTAAAGGAGTTTTTACATTTTTGTTTATATATAGATTATTTTTAACAGAAAAAATCATACATATTTATGGAGTATAATGTGATGTCTCAGTACATGTATACATTATCTAATGCCCAATCAGAGTTAATATATCTATGTTTTCAAGCATTTAACATTTATTAAATAATCTAAGACTTTTGCTACCGGCTGACAAATAGTCCTATAGAAAGTTATCATCTATTCCCATCCAGAATGTGTATATGCATGTTTGTCTATCTTCTAACCAACAATGAATATTTTAATTAAAAATGACAGTCTGAAGGGATAAAAACAAAACAAAAAAATAACATTTCTTTATTGTGAAAGTATCCCAAATCCTATCTTCAAGTTTTCTTTATAGAGAAATACAAAGCATATTGATATTTTTTAAAGATTTATTTATTTTATTTGAAAGGAAGAGAGAGAGAGAGAGAGAGAGAGAAAGAGAGAGAGAGAGATCTTCCATCCACCACTGGTTCACTCCTCAGATGGTCTCAATGGCCATAGCTGGGTCAATCTAAAGCCAGGAGCCAGGAGCTTCTTCCGGGTCTCTCACAGGTGTAGGGGCCTAAGCACTTGAGCCATCTTCTGCTGCTTTCTTCGGCCATAGCAGAGAGCTGGATTGGAGGTGGAGCAGCTGGGACTCAAACCAGCAGCCGTATGGGATGTCTGCACTGCAAGTGATGGCCTTACCCACTACACCACAGCACTGGCCCCTTGTATATCTTTCTGAACCATTTACAATATTTTAATCTAGCCATTTCTTCTGCATATTATATACATAAAGCAAAACTGAAATTATAATGAATATGCAGTTATATGACATTCTATTTCTCTTAGTGATACACTGAGAATATTTTCCCACTGCATTGCTTGTCACCAAGGTATTTCCTTCTTAATTATATTTGAACCTAAAGGGGAAAACTACATTTTAAATGTATACAAACAGAAAAGGCAAAATTTGCATTGACAAAAATACTTATTCTAGAGAATCATCAAATGGGTACTTTCTATAAAATCTATAGTGTAGTTCTTATTTATTTATCTGAATGTCAGAGTTACAGACAAAAAGAAAGAGAGACACAGAAAGAGGGTTTTTTTTTAAAGATTTTATTTATTTATTTGAGTGGTAGAGTTACAAAGGGAGGGAGAGACAGAGAGGAAGGTCTTCCATCCATTGGTTCACTCCCCAATTGGCCGCAACGGCCAGAGCTGGGCTGATACCAAACCAGGAGCCAGGAGCTTATTCCGGGTCTCCCACGTAGGTTCCAGGGCCCAAGCATTTGGACCATCTTCCACTGCTTTCCCAGACTGTTAGCAGGGAGCTGGATTGGAATTGGAGCAGACAGGACTTGCTTCCATTGCCAGTGGTGGCTTAACCCAGTACGCCACAACACCAACCCCAAATCTATAATTCTTAAGCTAGATTTAAAACAGTTGATGCTTAATTTTCTTCACAATAATAAAGTTGCTATACTTTGGCTACAGCTTACAAGACACTTCTTAATAGTGTTTTTATCACATTAGTAAGTCATATTAAACTTAAAAAAACAATTATTTTTATCTATGAAAGGTTTCATAATGAGTACAACAGTATGTACTTGGAGTCATAATTTTTTAATTAAATTGGAATGCAAGTCCAATTTTTTCCAAGGAGTAAAGCAGTTTCCTTTTATAGGTGTTATGTTTCATTCAGTTAGTTGGAAAATTTGGATAATTTTGCTCTGAAATAACAATGGATACACGCAAAAATGTATACCAAGACTATTATAATTGAATGTCTCCCTTGTGACCTAGACCATATAAAAGTCTGATCTTTCCCAGTACCCAGGTTATTCTCTAGTTGAAAGTTAGGACTTTGAGGAGGCTTATTAATTCTCTCAGGCCGTCAAGAGATCATTTCAGTGTCAATAATGCTTCTTAGCTTAAATCGGGTAACTCACAGCTCCAAGACCCAAAGCACAGACTGGAACTCCACTCAGATTAGTAAATGTACACAAGGTAAAAAAAAATTCCTGTACTACAGGGTCACCATGTACCTGTATATTACTAACCTTATCTTGCAATCTCTTACTAGTCTCAGAAGATGAGGGGGTAGACATGAGTGGAATGAATACAACCTTACATGTTGCTTCAATGAATAAAATAATGGATGCTGACAAGGTCCTCTCTCCATTTTCACCCCTCCATGCTTCTATTGGAAATTTATTAGTAATAATTTATTGAGGGATAATTTGGAATAGAATATGATTAACCCTGACAAAAATAAGGCAGCCTGTGAGGCATTCATACCATACTGACATTCACTTAACCAGAGGCATTATTTACAACATTGGGTCAAAAGCAGGGCAGTGAGAGAAAGATAGGTGGGGAGGTAGGTGATTAAAACTACTGAAGGATAAATATAGACCCTCTGGAAGTCTTAAAGGGAGTCATCCACAATGGAGGCCACTAGCTGGTGGGCAGAAGAGAAGGAATTCTGTACAACAAAATCTTGACTATTAAAGGTATGTAGAGTGGTGTATATATACAGAAGTTAAGACTGGGGCCCCCACTGTGGCACAGCAGGTTAAAGCTGACATCTCTGACTCCGGCATCCCATATGGGTGTGGTTCAAATTTTGGCTGCTGCACTTCAAACCCAGCTCCCTGTTACTGTGTCTGAGAAGACAGCAGAAGATGGCCCAAGTGCTTGGGCCCATACACGCACATGGTAGACCCAGATGGAATCCCTGGCTCCTGGCTTCAGCCTGGCCCAGCCATGAACAATGCAGCCATTGATGGAAGATCTATCTCTATCTATCTCTATCTCTATCTCTATCTCTATCTCTATCTCTATCTCTATCTCTCTATATATATATCTCTATCTCTCCCTCTCTCTGTAACTCTTTCAAATAAATAAATAAATCTTTTTTAAAAAAAATAAGTTAGGGTTAAATATCATGGTAGGTAAATTGTGGGATTAAAAACTCAATTTTAGGGGCCGGCGCTGTGGAGCAGCGGGTTAACGCCCTGGGCCAAAGTGCCGGCATCCCATATGGGCACCGGTTCTAGTCCCGGCTGCTCCTCTTCCAATCCAGCTCTCTGCTATGGCCTGGGAAAGCAGTGGAAGATGGCCCTAGTGCTTGGGCCCCTGCACCCACGTGAGAGACCTGGAAGAAGCTCCTGGCTCCTGGCTTCGGATCGGCGCAGCTCTGGCCTTTGTGGCCGTCTGGGGAGTGAACCATTGGATGGAGGACCTCTCTCTCTCTCTGCCTCTCCTCTCTTCTGTGTAACTCTGACTTTCAAATAGATAAATAAATCTTTAAAAAACTCGCTTTTAAGGGTTAGTGGCTGTATGATCTTGAGCAAGTTATTTGGCCTCTCTGTTTCAGTTTCTTTGCAAAATATGAATAATGATAGTACGTATTTTGTAAGATTGTTGTGAGGAATGTGATAATCTTTCACAAAGCACTGGCACCATGCCTCATACACAGTAAGTGCTCAGTAAGTGTTGGCCAATACTATCACTTACAGTAAAGGAGATAGAAGGGAGCCAAAGACAACTCCTTCTTAACAACTTTGCTCGGGGCACAGATGGCCTAATACAAACATCTGGAAGAGAATTATACACAACTGAAAGCAATTTCACTTCAGCTGGTATCTGACTACAAGAGTTTTCACAATTCAAAGGGCAGCACAATTTTATTAATGCGCTTAGTGATTTTCCCACTGCCTTAGGCGGCTACTACCACCACCACCACCCCATCAAAGAACTGACAATGGATCTGGGACAAATGTGGCTCAACATCTAGCACTGAATAAAACATCCCTGTGGTATATTTTGCTCACTTTTATTGACCCATTATCTCTTACATATACAGTTTTATAAGCTTATATGCACCAAAACTGCTGTGGAAAAATCTATTGCTTTAAAGATGCATTTGACTTTTTTTATCAAATGTTGGTCTCCAGCTTAATTTGTATTTGTATGCAGGTGAATTTCATTCAGAGATATTTGAAATTTTAGCTTACTTGCTTTGTTTTTATTTGTCACTGTTTTGCAATCAAGTGAATTCTGGCAAGTCATTACTGGTTCTGGAGTAGTCAGCTAACTTGTTTTATCATGTGAATCTGCATCATTGGTTTCCTCACTGCTGTTCCGTACATACGTGCAGCTTTCCTTCAAATCTATGCATGGACACGCTTTTCACTTTCCAAG